TGTGTGTGTGTGTGTGTGTGTGTGTGTCTCTGTGCCTATGCTGCTACTTGTGCTTTGTGAATGAATGCATGCATCTATCTCTAGGTATGCATGTGCTAAGCTAAATGTTGCTCTGTTTTTTTTCTCCGTTTCTTTTGTCTTTTCTCAACAGGACTACAGCGTCGGTAAAAATTGTAAAAATAGATGAAGGAAATTTTGTAATAAAAAAAAAATTGTGGCGGTCTAGTCACGGAAAGATGCACTAAAAGAAAACAGTTGAAGCGGTAACTGAAGAAGAAAGTTGGCTAAAGTGAAGAAAAAAAAAAGAAAGAAGAAAGGAGAACAGGAGTAGCGGAGAGGGTGTTGCTGATGAGAAGGAAGAATGAGAAAGGATAAGGGTAAGGCTGCGGAAAAGAGGGTGAAAAAATGTGAAAATTGTCGAAAAAAATGTGAAGTGTACAAGAAAATACCAAGGCAAAACGGCAAGAAAAAAAAGCGTAGTTTTTTTTTCCTTGGTGCAATGATAGTAATAAGAGAAATTGACCAAAAAAAAAAATATGTTGAACACGAAGAATAAGAACAAAAATAAGGAGAAAAAAAAAGAAAAAAGAAAGAGAAAAAAGCAACAAAATAAATAAATAAATAAACTTTTGCAAAAAAAAAACAGTTGTGAGCAATTTTTTTTTTCTGAAAAACGTAAACTCGAATTTTTCTATCATTCATTTATCTTTTTCAATTTTTGGCTGTTAACGAGGAAATTCAATCATCGACACCCCGTTTGACATAGATGGATACACCACCATCGGATGGGACACCAACAGCAGCAGCATACAGCATACCAAAACAAAATAACATACCTTTAAACACCCACACATCAATATCCATTACATTTGTAGATATCGAGAATGCTTCAGTTATTTTTCGAAACTTTAATGCTTAATTAGCTGTCGATAAAAGTTATTTTGGTTGACAAATTTTGGTGTCCTTTTTTTTAGCCATTTGCTTACCTTAGTAGTTTTATTGAATTGTTTCTGTATTACAATCAACAACTTTAAATTTCTTGCTTTATTGCTTCTTTCATTCAATTTTTTTTTGAAATTTTTCTTTTTCCTACTTTTTTTAACAGATTTATGATAATCTTAAACAAAAAAAAGAAGAAAAAAGAAAAAAGAAAAAAAAA